GTGTGTGTGTAATCATAATTACACAGAAGCAGACGGGGGGGAGGGCTTTCTCCTGTTGTCATAAATCTCGGCACACTCAAAGCCCAATCAGAAAGAGCCCCAGCTCAGAGATGCTCTGGGCCCAATTCAGCAGAAGGATATTTGGGAATGGCTGATCGAAGGCTCCCATGCCTGTCCTTCCTGGGTCCCCAACCCCTCGCCCCTTTATCACGGACGCCCCTCTTTGCTTCCCGCCCACGTGGATCCAGTGAAGAATCCCTCCTGAGCGGCGGTAGGGCCACCAGGGCCGTTCCTGGGAGAGAAGCCCTTGACTTTGCCAAGAAGTTAATTCCCCCTTTATTGTTACTTTCATCTCCAGCTGGATCCTTGGCTCTCCGCTCAGTGCTTCTCTTTCTGAATTCCTTTTTCTCTGAGAACTCATCTGTGCCATCACTTTAACCACTTCCAAGCTCATGATGGGAGGATGAGGTCATTGCAGGGTGCCCGGCACAGGGTGCAGGGCAGGCTTCTCCCAGAGAAGTGTGTGGCACACACAACGGTCTGACACACGGAAGGCAGCGTGCAGTTCCTGGCACATAGTAGGCTTCTCACAGGAGGCTGAGCACAGTACCCCGTGCACAAGAGGCTTTTCACAGGGTGCCAGGCACCGTCCCTGGACCATAGGAGGCTTCTTAGTACATGTTGACAATTATTTGTCAATACTACATCTAGGAATCCTTTCTCGATCACATTCTCTGTTCTGAGTGATTACACCTCATCGATTTCCGCTGCCTCAGTTTCTTTAGCTGTAAAACGAGGCACTTTGCCCTCACAGCACCACCCGAGGTGCATGAACGATGGTCTAATCGTATGGGTCAGCAGAGTGGAGGAGACCAGCAAAGCCGGGTGCAATTATCCTCCTTGCTTGTGCCCGCGCACCTTGCTGGGATTCGCTCCCCACCTCCCTCTACCTACTTAGATGCTTCCCATCCATCATGCGCCCCGCTGGGGGCTGCCCACCTCGGTGGTCTCTCTCGTCTTTCTCTCCTCTATTTTGGAAGTCCTTACTGCTGGATGCACAGAATCCAAAGCTTCTCACTCTTCTGTTTGGTTCAAGCATAGTCAGACAGAGAAGGGGTGAGTGACGTAAAGGTTCGGTCTGTGTTATAAACACTTTGCCCCCATTCCCTTTACAATGCGTGCTGGAAGGCTGAACGGGGTTCAGCAGCTTAGTGGCTGATCACGCTTTATGTAAAAGAGTTTGGGACCTAGAAGGCCCGGGGTGGGAATAGCCGGCTAAGGTCCACTTCTCCGCTCAGGTCATGATCTCACAGCCTGTGGGGTCTGGAGCCCCAAGGCCTCGGGACTCTGTGCTGGGGACAGCTCAGAGCCTGAGCCTGCTTCCTAGATTCTGTGTCTCCCTCTCTGCCTCCCCCTGCGCCTATGCCCCATCTCTTCTCTCTCTGTCAAAAACAAATAAACATTAAAAAAAAAAAATTAAAACAAAGAGTTTGCATCTCAAGAAATTTATAAAGCATACTATGGTTTGTCGGTGTTGTTGACTTCAGCCAGGTCAATGATCTCACGTGGTGAGTTCGGATTCTTCCCATCGCCAGGCTCTTGGTTGATGGCTCAGAGCCTGGAGCCTGTTTCCGATTCTAGGTCTCCTCCTCTCTGCCCTCCGTTCATGCTCTTTTCATCTTCTCTTCTCTTCTCTTCTCTAAAATAATAAATGTTAGAAAAGTGCACCTAAAAAAAAAAAAAAAAAGAACGAGAAAGACATTTTTTTTCCTAGATCACCACCAACGCTGTAAATAAACAACAACTGTATCCAAAAAGCAGAGAAATCATCAGTATCTTTACTCTGCTTTATATTAGTGGTTAGATTTTTTCCCACCACTTTCATTTTTTTTTTTTTTTTTGTCTTTATGCTTAAGAATTTATAAAGCTGTGATCACAGTGTAGCTGGAATTTGGCATTCTGCTTTTTTTTTTTCCCACTCAATATGCTACCATGGGTATTTTTTCATTTTGTGACAGAATCTTCATAATTATCTTTTTTTTTTTTTAGGGGCTGCATAATATTCAAGCGCGTGGGTGTCGCATAATGCACTGAAGTGTTTTCCTCCTGTTGATAATGGAGGCTGGTTCTGAAATCTCACTGTAACAGACAATGCTATAATTCACCTTGTTGGCATATGTTGAACACCTACCATGAAGCCAAAGCATTTACTTGGTTCTGCAACAGGCAGCAGGTGCCTGTTCCTTTGGATTTTTTCCTGAGGGCAGGGGTGGTGGGAGAGAGAATGAACCTATCTGTGGCTTCCTAGTGATTTTTAATTGAATCCCAGGGTCTCTGCTTAAAAACATAAGGAATTGTCGGAAGTCGCATTTGAAAGAAGGTGGTGGGAACGCGGGTCTCAGATGCTGTCCCTTTCTGCTCCTCTGACATCAGCAGGAATCATTGACTCGGGCTAGGAAGGTAGGTCGAGGACAGTAAAGGGATAAGGGGATGGGAAAATTCTCCATGGAAAATGGGGAAGGCAGACTGTCCCTTTTTTTTGATATCTTAATATTTATTTATTTTTGAGAGAGAGAGAGCGAGCACGTGAGCAGAGGAGGGGCAGAGAGAGTGGGAGACACAGAATCCGAAGCTCCAGGCTCCGAGCTGTCAGCACAGAGCCCAATGCGGGGCTTGAACCCACAAACCAGGAGATGGGGACCTGAGCCAAAGTTGTGACCTGAGCCAAAGTGACCTGAGCTCAACCTACTGAGCCACCCAGGTGCCCCAGACTGTCACTTTTTCAGAAGAGTAGCTACCTCCTGACCTGGTTTTCCCATTGCTTCCCACACTGTAGTACCTCCAGCTCCTCTGGTCTCCTTTCAGATTCTTGAATTTAACCAAGTCTTTCCTGACCCTGAGCCTTAGCACGTGCTGTTCAACTTAGTCAGAAATGCTGTTCCTTTGGCCCGTTTCTCATCCTTTAATGCTCAGCCCGAGTCTCACTCTTGGATGAACGCTATGTCTAATCTCCCTGTCTGCATATGTTCACCAGCAGCCTGCATATCTCCATCAGAGCACGTATCAAAAGCATAAACCAATCCATTTTTAAAAGAGTGTTTTTATCCCTCTTCCCCAACTAGACTCAAAGCTCCACAAAGATAGTGACGCTCAAGGTGGTTTTTTGCCGGATCTTCTGCCCTAGCACAGCACCTGGCCCATCAGAGACACTTGGTAGTAAGCAGGTCAGGGTACGAATGGAGGAAAGGATGTTTGCCAAAATATCACTTAAGGGGATAAAGGCAAAGACTGCTGGAGGGACACTGGCAGTCCGTTTTCCCGATCACAGCTCCAGAGATGCAAGTTACAAAAAGGAAGAGCTACCTGAGGGTTACGGAAATAGGCGAAAGTCTATGCCGGAAGTCTTTAAAATATGCCTGCAGTATCTACATATCTGAGAAACAGGTGGCGAACTTCTAATATCAAGTTTTGGAGCTCTCTTTCCATGTCCTACTGGAGATATCGGGACAGACTTGAACTCTGTGCAAATCTTTAAAATAAAAAAAAAAAAAAAATCGGAGGGGCTCCTGGGTGGCTCAGTGGGTTAAGTGGCCAACTTCAGCTCAGGTCATGATCTCATGGTTCGTGAGTTCGAGCCCTGCATCGGGCTCTGTGCTGACAGCTCGGAGACTGGAGCCTGCTTCGGATTCGGAGACCCTTCTCTCTCTGCCCCTCCCCTGCTCACACTCTGTCTCTCTCTCTCTCTCTCTCTCTCTCTCTCTCTCTCCCTCAAAAATAAACATGAAAAAAAAATTTTTTTAAACAAACCTGAAAATCCAGACCATCAGAAGGCTCTCCTTTCCAAAAAACTCCCCAAATGTCACCTAATCTGTCTCAGTCTGTCACCCTCACCAGACCTCTCATCCTCTAGTCCTTCAGGTTGCAGTAAGTTCTTCAGTATGAGGCTAGACGGACGGCTGAATTTCTCTGTATCTTACAACTTACTGCTGGGCAAAGAAAAGACCAGAACAACAGCCCTGAGACACCTCTGAAACCCCTCAGGAGCTGGGGGTGGAGAAGGGCAGCAGCAGAGGTGTGACCCACAAACCATCTCAAGGCAGCTGGGTTTTCTACCTGATTCCCTGTGTTGACGTGCACAAGGCCATAGCCGGTGGCTCCTGGATCGTGAGTCGGGTTATAAACCAACGTTCCCCGCCATAGGAGATAAACAACATGATCTCCCTGCCTGCAGCCTCCCACCCCCCACCCCCCTTCATTCTCTGCACTCCTCAAAACTCCAATCTGATCGTGTCACCATGTTGGCCCTTCGGCGGTCCTCGGTCACACCCAGGTTGGAGTCCGCGTGTCCTTGGTCTGGTATGTGAGTGAATGAGAAATAAACCTCTCTGCGTTAAGGTCGCATTAGAGCAGCTATCGTAATTTCGCGCCGGCCGGTCACCCGACCGCACTGCTCCTCAGTATCGTCCTCTCCACATGGCGGTACCAACAGGGTTGCGAGAATCTAACGAGGTCATACGTGTGAAGTGTTCAGCACAGAGCTGGTGTTATCAAGCCCCCGGCGTATGTTTCCTAGTATTACTATCACTGTTACTATCACGGGCCCTCGTCTAAATGAGCGCCGCTGGTTTTTTTAAGAGGCAGAAGAGCAAGAACCAACCTGGCCCTCTCTAGAGCACACACCTTACCTTTTCACTTCTTGCACGTAGTCTGCATTTCTGTCAAAGAGGTGGGTCATGGAGCCTTTGATTGCTTCGTGCTTGAAAGTAGAAGCTGTTCCAAAGACAGTCACATTGGGGACAGTGGAACACAGCTGAGCCACAGCTTGACCCTGGAAGTGAAACACAAGACACCGGTCACACGGGAGGGTCACCGCCCGACAACCGGTCTCGCTGGGTGTAGGGCAGGACTTCTCAACCCTGCCGCTGTTGACCTCTCTGAGGCTGGATGAGTCTTTGTCGGGCTCCGCTGGGCTTTGTAAGGTGCCTACGCAGCATGTCTACCAAATTATTCTACCTCCACCTGCTAGCTGCCGATAGCTCCCCTCAGTTTTGATCACCAAAAATGCCAAGATGTCCCCGGGGTGGGGACATAGTCTCCCTTGGCTGACAACTAGGGGTGGTGGAGGAAAATCCACGTAAGCCAGCAAAGCCACGGTATCAAGACTCAACAACTATCATTTAACCACACTGAGCCTCAGGCTCCTCATCTAACCTTAGCAGTAATGGTACTTGCTCCATACGGGTCTCGGGAGCTGTTTGGGTTTGGATTCCCCCCGAAGCCGACCCCGACGCAAAGATTTGAGAGCAAGTACCTCATCTGGAATACGACCACAGGAAATACCAGGGTATCAAGACAGAAATCGAAGGCGGCCAATAAAGGGTGTGCTTTCAAGGCAGCACCCAGTGGGTAACTGGAACTCAGTCCCTCTGAGGACCCCCGTGCACAAGTGTAGAATACACTCAGAGGTATCCCAACCACATGGTGAGGAGGCTGGAGTATTTTGATCCCCCGAATTCCCCTCTGTATCAGTCGGGGGTTGCTTCTACAGCGGTAACTCCCAGGCACCTCTGGCTTGTGGAGGCAAGCATGCTCCCACAGCCGGACGGAAGCCCTAAGTCAACAACCGTCAGCAATGTTGAGTGCGGAGAAGATATGGTGACGGGATCGGCTACACGGTGTATCAAATGAGGCAATATGTCACACGGGTCAAGCACCTGGCATAACACATGACATGTAAATCTGAATCATCTGTACTCCTTTGGGGCTGGGATGTCCAGGCATATGAGGAAGAGCCCAACGCATGAGGTTTAAATATTGAGGGGTCTAAGAGACATTACAAATGTAGTTAGACATGGGTGGTTTTTCCATGTCCTGTTTCAACAGGGTCAGAAATGTAAGTCATTGGACAAAATCCTGCGATCATGTGAAGTCAGAAATCTTCCAGTAAAACCCAGTTTGCTGGTAATTAAGGTGCCTTCCCAAACCAGGTACTGTTTCCAGCTTTCCACCTGCCATCTTAAGGAGGCAGAAATTATTCTACCGAAGTCACCTGTGAAATGTAACTTCTGCCTAACACTTCATTACATGCCTTCATGTTGGTGGACTAAATCAGGTTGGCAGGCCTATTTCTGGAAATGTTTTTTTTTTTTTTTTTTT